TCTTCCCACCGTACTGATGGGACGATCCATGTGGACGGCACCGGCCCTACAAATTCTGGCCCGGCACTCCTTGCCTTCCATACATGACGTACGAGGAGACAACAAGATGCAACGAGGACTTGCCTTTTGACCCTTCCCCTTTTCTGAGAAACATAGTTACCCTCCCACCAAACATATAATGGAAGTGCACAAACCCCCTTTCCAAGAGGAAAGTCGTCTTTCTGCAGGGGTCTGTGCACTTCTGTGTTAGTCGGCGGGAGGGTAAGCTGAAGAGTTTGACTTTTTGTCACTTTCGGGCCTTCCTGTTTCTCAAGCAAACGGGGCGTGTCAAAGGCAAAACCCTTGACGGCGTCCGCCCGCCCTCCCGCCTTCAAAGGCCCGGATTGTTCCACGCAAATGGCCTGGAAAGGAAGTTGCTCCATCGGCACAAGTTGGTACGTGGCAGAAAATCCAACTTCCCATTGGCCATCGCCTTTCATTCGCAAGCCTGGCTCGGAAAAGGGCCCTCAGATCAAACCAAAGGGCTGCCCTTGTTTCTTTTGAACGTCGCAAAGGGTTTTTGAACCAGACCCATTTCCTTTGGTTGGATCCGCTCAAGCGTGAATATGAGTGAAGTTCGAGCGCCCTTTGCAAAGGTGGTAGAAGCGAACCCAATGCTTCCAGTTGCCACTGAAGTTGGTAAATAAAAGAACCATGTACAAAGCCGTTGAACGTCGGTGGCCGAAATTTCTGGAAGGATTCAAAGTGGCATTAACCACCCATTCCAGCTGTGGTAACTGGAAGCCGGGGCTGAACAGCCCAGAGTATGCGGTAGCCTGATTATAGGTCTTTTCAGCTTCTTCCCTACACATTAACGTTCAAGACATGCACCGTACCTGCCTTTTGGTGCTTGAAAACGCGAGATCCCATCATTTGGAGTAATCTTAAAGCTTACGCCGCCATTGCCGGCGCTGAGTGAAGCGCTGATTTTTGTGCCTTCGCAGGTTGGGGTGGGGGGTGGGCAGGGGTGGTGAACTCACAAGAAGTGCTTCGCGCGTTCCCCATCGGCACGGCTGCAAGCAGCGCAAGTTATTCACAGATCCCCTATTGGCACGGCCGTGGTGGTCGCGTTCACTCGAACTTGCGTGCGATTTGAGGGGAGTCCACCCCACGAATGAAACATCAGGGTGGCTGATAGTTGTCCGAAACAACAATGGTGCCTTCAGGCTTGACGCATCTTTGCCCTCAAAATCCAACCCTTCAAGCCACAACAATGCCAGCGCAAGATTCTTGAACACCGTGATTGAAGGCTTCCCCTTTTAGATTCCCAGCGATACTGAAGACAAGGGCCAGCAAGGTTTTCCCAAAAGAACGCAACAATCATTGTTTGTGCCTCCCCAAACCCAGCGGATGCAAGGTACCCCATTGCGGCCCTTTGCCAGACAAGAGCATTTCCTTGTTGCTTAGTCTGCGCTTAAACCCACCAATGCTAAGCCGCTATTAACCCCCTCATGTTTTCCCCAAACTCGTGCTTCCCCCAAGATGCATTTTGCTCACTAAGGCTTGTTCAAAAAGACCAGGTGTTCAGGCTCGCAAAGGGGACCCGCGTTGGAGGCGGGTCTCCCCCCCCCAATTAACAGAGAACCCCCCGGCGCTTAATCAGGCTCACCCTAAGTATTGGATGTCGCCGCATACTGTCTCGTGTTCCTGATGCGGGAACCCCTTGTTCGTTTTAGGACCATAGAGTTGTTGCTGGGTCACCGCCCTGTCCTGCTGGATACCCTCCTGGTAACAGCCTGAGCTGGCAGAGAGCGTGCAACCCGAGCATCAAGCAAACTGGAACTCGGTGGTGTTTTTGACTTGTGAACAGTTGCATTTGCTTGCCTTCCTGTGAATACAAACCAATCCACAACACACACAAAAAAAGCACAGCGCAACGAGCTTCGGGCAGAAGGCGCCCGTCAATGCTTTACAGTTCCTAAAAGCCAGTTAAAATCGTCCTCATCCTTCAAAGCATCCAGAACTGGACGCAGGAGAATACCTTGGAATCAGTCTGACGGAAGGGCTAAATTGGTTCTATCTTCACACACTTGGCCATTGTTCCAATTCCAATGGTCTGGCGTCGGGGCGAGTAAATCAGAGGTAGAAATGCCAGCGCTTCAGCGGCTGAGAACACAAACGGACGTCACCCTGTGGCCTTTGGAAAGGCAAAGGCGCCGGTAAATGATGGGAGCCGAACTGAAACTGGCGCCAGTGATATTCAGCCAAGCTGATCTGAAAGGACAACTCAGTTTTGACCCCTGTTTCCTGGTGTGCTTTGCCCAAACGAATGAGCGCTTCGCCACGGTGAAATGCAGGTGGTTTCGACAGTGCACGCCGCTGAGAGTGCTTTCCGGGCCGGCGGGATGCTTATGCCACTCAGCCCCGTGCATTTTGGTTGAATCCTTTTCTGGTTGCTTTAAACGGAAACGGACGATGATGTTGGACCGTCCCTTTGTGTGACCGCCTCAAGCTCTGTGGCAAAAAAACCAGCGCGGCAAGCTGAGCCGAAACTCCAAATCGAGATATCGACCATACCCAGTGATACAAATGATACCCAGTGATATCAACCATATTGTCCGCCAGTGATACAAATGGACAAACTGAACCGATACCCAGCCGTACAGTCGCCAAGACGCACAGCTGCCCCATGGCGCGCCTTCCTGTCGGCACGCAAGGGGGGCGGTGAGGGTGTGCCCTCAATGGTCCAAGGACTCTCATTGGGTCTGATTTGTTTGGATTTGATGTGGTGCCAATTTGTTCTTCATTTGGACTATTCCAAAATAATGCATCTTGGAGAAGGTTGTCGAACCTCTCACTTCGGATCAGGCTGCGCTTGCGATTGCCCTATGGACCCAATGGAGAACATCCACATGCATCGGTTGCCTAGCATGAAGCTGAGGGCAACCTATGAATACAAGATCTTCCAATGCACCAAAGGATTTGAGTCGCGGAAGCACGGGAGGTCCCCGGGAAGGGGTGCGGCAGGTCTCTGGAAGGGGTTGCGGAAGGCCACGCGCATGTGTCAAAGCCGAACAAGCCGACATGCGTAGTATAAAGAGGCTGATCAAACTACTGTTGGCAACAGCTCAACGACGGGGTTTATTCAACCTGTCATGGGGAGGGCCTCCAGGATGGTCTTCAATTGCCCAGGCCAAAAGGATATAGCGTGCTAGCAAACAATCAGAGTCTGTTGATGGTCGATGGGACCACTTTTGGAGGGCATGTGGAGATGTCCCAAAAATTGCGGGGACTCGACCACCCTTGTCGGATGTACGACAGCCATAAGGACACCAGAGGACACCAGCAGGAAACGAACTGCCTGGCCAAAGGCAACGCCTGAGAAAAGATTTAGGAAGATTCCACCGACAGAACTGACGGTCACCAAATTCGCCCCTAGTACATTGATGGATTTGGGAGTCGAAGGTATAGCAAGGTACCCTCCCTTCAACCATAGCACCAGTTGCAGGGTACCTGGAAGCTCATGTTCCTCTTGAGGGACTTCCTGTCAGGCGCCATGTTAGTGGCAGGACGGGTAACCCTTTTGCCACCTGGACGAAGCAACAAAAAGACCGGAAGCTCTTTCAGGACGAAGCCGAATCGCGGGGCGGACCTGCGACCTCGCAGGGCCCGTTTGGGCCGGAGGCACGGCCCGAGAGAAAGGGCGGAACAGTAGCAGCTCCCTCGGATATCCTGATTCTCGCATCCCGGATTCAATGTAAGAGGGAGTGAAAAGGGGTGCATCCCCACTTAATTTGGCAATTCCAGGGAATGCCTTGTGGGTCCCTTGGGCTTGAGTCAAGTGGAAGTGGCAACTCACGCCACTGCATCTATTGTTTGCATGCCTTCTTCCACTGACTTTGCTTTTAAGGACATTCCTGTTGGTATCAGGGAAAGCAACATGTGCCTTGGCAACCTAACCAACTTCGCACCATTTTCACGCAATCTCCCGAAGGGCAAGCTTCCCGGCGTGGCACCGTCTCGGGAATGCCAGTTCGGGGCTCGGGCACGGAAGGCGGAGATGTTTTCGGAGCGGGCGATGGACACCGGTGGAGGAAACTCCACCCCATGTATAGGACACCTCACTTGCGCAAATCTGGACATGCTAGCATCAGGGCCAAAATGAGAAAAGGCAACAGGTCAAATTGTCAAAAGCTCGATTCGCCTTGCCGAATCCATAGGATGTTTTACCCACTCTGCATGCGCATGCATGCGCACTAAAAACAAAGGCTCCAAGGTACTCAAATGGACTGGAGTCCTCCAAATCTCTCCCACGTTGCCATTGTGTGTTCAAAATACTGGCATTTTGTTGAGGGGTGACATCTAATTTCCGATGATGGTATGTGTGTGTGTGTGGTTACCTCCATTGCGAGGAAGCGGGACATGATTACTCCCCCTCTGAGAATTCCTCGGCATGGCTACTGCTGTCACTGCAAAGTCGTGATCCCAACGCTCACATAACTCAACCAAGAAAGAACAGTGCTCATGCACTGAGAAAGCTGAGGCTGGGAATCCCGGATGCAGGTCCGTCTGGAGATCCCTTGATGAGGAAATTCGGAGCCTTGATCTGCATCCAACTCCAAAACGACCCTTAGCCCCACATAGGGAAAATGGATAGGGAAAGGTTCACCTTTGTTCCATACACTACTTACGAGGGGTTGATCCTTTGCTTACGAGGTGCTGAAGCAACAAACAACACAAGAGATGGTTGGGACCCATGCCCCGAATAACTTGTACCAGGAGGATTCCATGGACCCATGCCGGGGGCCGCATGTCGTTGGGTCGCCCATTCCCTCTTTGGGATCTTTGCCCTTCTTCGCATGCAAGCTGAAAGGAAAACTGTACCATGGGAGTCTCACAAACAAAAAGCTCGTCGAGTGCGTCTTTGACCCTGCAAACAAACTGAACTGCGCCGTTGTCAGCGGGGAAACAGTCATTTGGCATTCAAGAGCCGAAAACCAAAAGGACACCACCCATTTGAGCTCTGTTGCAACTTAAAGCGACTATGCACTGCAAGTAGATATTCAAGCAGGAGTCTGGCGTCGCGCCGCGTCGCGCGATCTTTGGTCATTGGCTCTCTACGTCTGCAGGCAGGTGTCCGGATGAACCCCGGAAGGAGGCCCTCTCGGTTTCAACGGCGAAACCGGCCCGGGCGTTATCACCTGAGCCTTGGGATCTGGAGTCTCAACGCGATCCCTCCGCTCCGGGATCGACCTGTGGCTGGGATACGGGGAAGTCCTCGACTTCACATCCTGGTTGGCATGGGTCAACTCCACGCGACAAGGTGCTGGAAGAGGGCTGAAGCCGATTCCCTGCAAGCCCTCCTTATCCTCGAGACACGAGATCTCCGGACAGGGAGTCCACATGGCCTGTGAAGCGTAGTCCTGGAATCCGGGCATACGGTCAAATCCATCCTCCCAGGTGCATTCTGGAGGCTCCGCAACTGCCTGAGTTATATTCTTGGACTCTGGAGGCGCCTCATTGAGCGTGGTCAAGGATTTCAATAATTGCAGGAGGGGGATCTTGACCGACAACCTGAAATCCATGCACATCATAGGCTCTTCACCGTCTTGTACGAGTCGGGCGCCTTCACCACAGTCGCACAGCATCCGTACCGGCAGGTCGGTTATCGTCATGTCCACAAATGTCCACAGATCTTGACGGTAGCCCGAACGTGCACACCACACTCGTTAACACGCTGCGTTGAGCCGAAAAGCAAGGCGCCCAAGCTCAAGCAGCCATAGGAACACTGCAACTTGCTTCAAATCTGTTCAGGCCCTGCAGCTTGCTGACAGCAAAGGGAACTCGGGACTCAGGACTAATAAACTTCTCGATGTATCGGGGCGTGAAGTTGCTAATTTCTTTATCATTCTATGCGTATGTTATTCATTACTATGGTTCTGTCTTCATTTGCTTGGATGCGAGGTTCGCCAATCAGAGATTTCTACCAGACAAATCCTGAATCATATGCTGTGTCGTCTCAGTGTGGAAGAACGAAACTAAACACTGTGAACATTTCAGTTTTCAGGGCCTATCCGCACCCAGGCAGCAAACAACGCATCACCCCATACCTGGTAGCCCTCCAAATGGGTGCGTCTCAGATCACGGAACCCAGGTGAGTTGTCTCTTAGAACAAGTCCAAACTCATCAAAACAATTTTTGAGATTGATCCAATGGAAACAGGCAGAAATGGGCGGATGTTCAAGGGGAGTGGATGCCCAATTTGCCTAGCTCGGCCCATAAAACACCACATATATCTGCAGGAACATTCCATCCCTCGCTGCGGGTAACCTGCGAATTAAACTTACAATATGCCGTGTCTCCTATAGCCAGCAGGCCAGCTGTTTCTGTCCATTCCCCTAATTGCTCGCGTGGCATCTGGGATCGATAACTCAATCCTGGGCCCTCAGATCCCCCGCTAAAAGTGACTAAGTTTTAGTGGGTCAAATGGAAATCCAACCACTAAACACCAAAAGGTTAAACACCACTAACCACCAAATCCTCAGATCCCCACTAAACACCGAAAGGCCAAGCTAAGGAACCGGATGGCTGGGAATCACCAAGAATCCATGCCCAACTCGGAGGGCCGGGAGTCCATGCAAGCACCCCAGTAAACTCCGCCAGGCAGGCGGGAGCTGCGCGCCTGAGCGAGCTGCTTGGAAAAAAGCAAGCATGCAGGTCCTAGGTCCTGGTTCCCGAAAAGGCAGTAAGAACCAAAGTCGCACCCTATACTATGTATACACAATAAAATACATCTTGGCATTTGCGCGGCCTGCATGTGCATCATGAATCACCCGAGACAATTCTGCAACCTCCTGTTCCTTTACCGGGCAACATGTTCTGGTTGCCAGGCTCTGTCAAAATGGTATACACACAAAACAACTTGATTGCCGAAAGGGCCTAGAAACAAATGCGTTCTCCAAACGTGGGCCATCGGCAAACCGAACAGATCTGGTGTTGGAAGTGAGTGTTGGGTGCCAACTTGGCCACTCCAGCCGTGACTTCACCTTCAATCAATCCAAAGCCTGCGTGCTCGGATCAGTCAAAAGCAAACAAAATATGTTGACACTGAAAGGTGCGGGTCGTGCCCTTGTCGTCCTCTTTGAACTAGGAGGGGGTCCCAGCTACTCAAGTGATTCCATCTGTGATGGCTAACGGCTTGGTGCTGCAATGGATGCTCGGAAAGCGCTGGATTGCCCATGGAAACACGTCGCCCAAGATTTGCTTCAGGGAAACTTAACGCAAAGGCAGGCAGTCCTGGATTGTTTATCACCGGCTTTCCTCGTCAGCCCCACTTCGCTGCAGCTCTGAGCCGCTGTTTTGCCGCGGCGGGCACAGTGCGCGAGCACGCACATGAGGAACGAAACGGCTCACAGGCCGAAGTCGTCCTTGCGGTGGCGATCCTGAATCTCCTGGCAGATCCGTCCATGACAGCAGTTGTGTCAGCCGCCCCATTTAGGCTGTATTTGTTTGGTGAGAATACTCGTTTTGGGCTGGTTTAAAGGGAAACTAAGCGGAAAGCCACCATTTTTGGGGGTCCCCTAGATTTAACGCGCACCCAAGAAACACCAAAAAGTGCAGCGGTTGATTTGCGTTGGACCACTAAGTTGGCCACCGTCACGTCCTGGTTAAGCTGGCCTCCAATCTCCTGCAAAGGCTAAGCCAATTGAGCCTCTGACGCACGAGGTAATCAGCGGACGGGAAAAGTGTCAACATGGCAGAGTTCGATAAAAATGGTAACTTGGCAATAACGAACTTCCTGCTTTAAACACAAAACAATAAAAAGGTACCCTCCAAGATCCCTCTAAGATACAAACATAGAGCCTGCAAGGGTTGGTAATCTTTGCTGGATTCCCTTTGAAACCAACTACAATGTACATTCCGACCAAACAACTAAATGACACAAACACAAACACACGCGGACACAAACACAGACACAACCACACAAACACCCACCCACCCACCCACCCACCCGCCCGCCCGCCCACCCACCCACGCACACTCACGCAAAACCTTACACGCGGCATGACCCCCCACCCCCAAAACCACTGCTACCACCGCCGCCGTCAGGTCTCAAACGTTTCCTGCTTCAGCTGGCTGAAGTCGAAGTCCTCAAGCTCTTCCAACCTCGCCGCTCAGGGAATGAGGGAATACCGGTGGTTTCTTTTCAAGGGGACCCCTGGCTCCACACGCAAACTGAGGAACTGTTGCTGCATCCAGATCCAGAAGGCCACAAACAAAAAACACGAAGTTTCTCAACCAGAGGTTTGTTTGTTCAGGGTTCCTCATTTGGATGTCTACCCGTGGTGTGGTGGCTAAAGACAGGTGTATAGTTCGTTTTTGCTGAAGAGTGGGTTGGGGGTAGTGAGATGAACCCATCTAAGTGGTTCAAGGGAAATACAAGGACCCCTCCGTCTGTATAGTAGGAGCCTAAAGCGGCCGAACCCTATGCATCATTACCCCAAGTTGCAAAATATATTGGTCCTCGGCATGGTTGGCACAAGCTGCAACACAAGCAGAAAGTTGCTTGCGCGAATTATTGAGACCATCGCCGCAGCAAGGACATCATAGCACAGCTTAGGAAAGTTGCCTTTTTACGATGAGCTACGAAAGAAAGCTGCATTGGAAGATGAATTCGTCATAGCTGTTGCAATTTGGAATTGTTTGTTGTGTTTAGATTTTCTGCTGGGGAGGATAAGCTCTGATTGGAGGGGGGTTTGGGGGGGAAATAAGGCAGAGGTGAGTAAATGTTCCAATCTTGTGTGAAATTGAGAATCGTCTTGGAGAGGTGACGGGTGGGGGCGGTTAGCATTAATGAGGGCAGATTACTAATCAGTGCCCAACATTGTTTCGACTGACATATCTATCTCTATATATATATATATGTATGCTATGCATTTTTGTGCCTGATCATCAAGCCCCAACTGACAGCAACGGAAGGGGCCACAGATCTTCCTAATTCCCAGTCCTGTCGATGTTTGCTTGCAGTTGTGTGTAAATGTGTTCCAAGGATTGCAATAACAAATCTAAGTCAGCCATCCAGAAGCACTACACGTCATCTTAAACATCAAGGTTTGACAAGCTCACAAAAGGTACCCCCCTCCCCTTCAAGGCCACTCCACCCCAATCACGCAACACCCTCCGGAATAATCATGCCCTCTCTAGCACGAGGAAACAAACACACACACAGACACACAGACACAACTTTACTTTTACTTCGCTTTTGCAGTCCTATTCGCCAAGGGCAGGGGGGGATACCAATCAGCAAAAATCTTTACCTCACTTCCTGAGCGGATGAGCCAAACAAAAAGAGTCCAAACTCTTCATTTGCCACTAATTAAAAAGGTCTTCCATTTTAAGTATAAAGTCCAGGAACTCTGGAAGCGAGTTACCAGAAACACCCCTGTCGAGAACTCTCCCCTCGAAGGCTCCCGGGCATCTGCACATCGAAGGACACCTTGCCGCCCTCCGCCTCGCTCGCCCGCCGGGCGTGCGAGGCCTCGGCCGCAGAAAAAAACATGCGACGCACAGGGGTTGAAACACCTGGATGTGCCTCAAAAGCATGTAGGTTTAACAGGGGGCCAAAGGAAACCAAGTATGTTTTCCGCCACTGATTTGAGGAAGCATCCAACTGACGCTTGGAGGAGTGAATTAATGGGTCTCAGAAGGAGACTCTCATAGGCTGCAAGGGAAGGGCACCCGGCGTTACCCCGCTTTGCAGTACATGTTTGGGAAGTCAATGGGCTCTGGTTCAAAGGAGTTGCCTCGATGGTTTGATAAAAGGAATCTGGAAAAACACCTGGTACTTGACCAGTTGGTTGCGATATAGGGCCCCTTGAACATGTAAAAGCCCACAGTCCGGCCAAACAAGACGTAAGCAGGGCCGAGCACTTTGGATTCCCACACATCACAAACAGGTGCCCTGCCGCCCATACTTTTATGTATGTTCAAAGAAAAATGGAACCACACGAGAGACTTCATGGGACAAAATCCTCCACCGTGCCCCTACGGGCCGCACAATGACCAGGACGCGGCAGAACTGGAAGATGATGCGAGCCATGACCAAAGACCTTGGAGTTGGCGGCCCGGAGCCGGCAGAAACGCAGAAACTCTGGCCAGTGTTGCATCGCTCCCGATCACCTTCTTGCATGTGCCATTTGCGCGAGGCCGTCTAGCAACAAACACTTGCAAACAAACGCCAAGCTCAAAACCACCCATTTGGGGAGGGTCAAGCAAACAAAAGGCTCCCCTCATGCACTCGGCGCAGGGCTGCGAAAGCTCTACATCCTCCTTCTGCGCCTCCCCTGCTGCGGAAGGTGCCTCGGCTTTGTCACTTTCTTGAGGGTACTCTTTTGAAGCAGGTGACCTATTGGAAGGCAAAGAAGAGGAAACCAGGGGTCGCCTATTTAACACACCCCCGAACAAGGTCTCCTTATGGTTCCTCGTAGATCTTCTGGTGTTCCCTTGTCAAGCTGGAATGTCAAACATAAAGTTGATAGATGGAGCCTAAAATGGCGGTGGCGGCTCCTGAAATAGGAAGAGCCGCCGGCAGCTCGACGAGCTGAAATCGATGTCCATCTGTTTCGATGTCCCAGGCTTCTGTCAGAAAGACACTCCCGCGTGTGGAGCATTCATGAAATTCTTCTGTCGCGGTGCCCCCAGCTTCCTCTGCGGCCCACAAACAAGTCTCGAACAGGAGACATGGGGCTTGTTTTTTGGGAATCCCTTTTTGGTTCATTTTGGTTGTTTGTCCAGGAGCACGAAAAGGGCACTATTTTCGGGGTCGCCTAGTATTGAGACACACCCCGGAAGCCAATGAGAACTTGGCAGCCCGAAACGTGGGGCGAGAAGCGCCTCTGTGTTCATCTCTGGTTAGCTTATAAGGCACAGGATGAAGCCTCCCTAGATTCCCTAGGACAGATTTGGGCCAGGAAAAGCATCACGCCTGCCTTTTCCTGCTGGTTTAGAGGATGAGGAACACGTCCAGAGGATACATCCCGAATCTACCTCTGAGGTGCAGGCAGCAACGAAGAAGAGGCCTCAGATCGCACATTCAAAACAAGGAGCCTCATGAAAGGGGTGCTCTCAGATTGCCTCTTTCAATGAGCAAGGTACACCTTGGAGCATTGAGGGTCAACATCCTCTTCCCCTTAGTCGCTGATCGTCTTCACCTTGTCCGTGTGTCGCTTTTTTTTCTGCGCTACTTGGCCCCTGGAAACCCTGGAACGGTCCTAAACCCCTGGAAACCCCTTGGGGTACCGGTGTGATCGGTAGCCAACGTGCTACCATTCACCTCATCTTCAAACAAGCTGGTCTTCACAGAAAAACTCGCAGACACATCGTGAAATCATCTGTGCAAAAAATGCATCGTTCTTACAATCGTAGTCGAAAAGGTTCCTGCTTTCCAAGAAGATGCAAACAAACAATGCAATATGTACATGCTCATGCTACAGTTACACCTCGCGCTGACTAAACGCCTTGCATTTGGGTGCATCCATAATTTTTGGCTGGTTACAACGGGAGACCCTTAGGAAACATTTACATACATTTACAAGGCCCCCTACTTCAGAAACATCCACTGCGTGAGTTCCTAAACACAGTGGGCCAGTACATCGACCACAACATAAGCTACTTCTCCCAAGCATGAGTTGTCTGCCAATGGCTGTGCTATGAACCTTTGATGGCGCACGGCCCGTTGTCTTGTCAGATAATGCTCAACAAAAGGAAAGGGTGAACCAAGCGCTCACTCACCAGCTTGCCCTTAAAACTCCGTGACGGTCTTTGAAGGGTCCACAAGCCACAAGCTACCACACAACTAGATAATTGCGACTTCTCAGAAAGAAGCTACCAAGAACGGGTATGTAAGGGGTCCCTGACTGCAAAGGGGGCATGAGGCTGACCTGACAGAAACCTGCCACGGGTGAATTGTTGGACGAGGCGAAGCGAACCCTCCAATCCTCTTCGGATTTGTCCGGAAAAAATCCGAAGACGATTGCAAATAAGGCCTGTGAACAACGCCGATCGATGAGGTGGTACTTTCCAGCAAAATTTTCCAGTGTAACTCGAGGGTCTGTTCAAATTCACAACATTTCGAGAATAGCAAATGGCAACCAGTTCCAGCTCCCCTATAACTGCTGGATTGGCAATTCGTTTGGGAGCTTAGGGGTTAAATCCCCAAACTACCAAGTCAAACCACCCCAGCTTACCTGACACTTACTTTCCAGCCGGCCACCGAGTTCTTGCCCAATCCAAGGGACCGCTGCTGATCACCGCCACGCAAGTGTCAATGGCGTTGGACCTCGGATCTTGCATCCTTCTTTGGTTGGTTGACTTTAAAGGAAAACCCGAAACCCAACAAAAAGAAAAAAAAGGGCGCCACTGGGCAACTGGGCTCAGCTCTGGAAACCTGGATTCTTGCTGGTTCCAGCCCCAAAAACCTGCGTCTGACATCCATTTTGCCTCTTGGTTTATGGGCCCAAATCACAAGGGGCTCAATAAAACAGGGTCTCCAAAGCTCGGCTTTCGCCCCTCCCTCCCATCTCTTCAGGGGAAAACAACAATCTCAAACCCACAAGATGTTTGGTCGATAGTGGGTAAGCCTTAGAAATGCAATCGCACACGCCAAAACAGACTGCCCCTGTTGGTCAACCATTGTTTGGGGCCCCTTTGTCTACAGATCAAGCCAAACTTCATGTGTTTCGGCGGCCGGGCATGGATCCCTTGTACATATTAACCTATCTTCCATGATTGGAGAACCTTTAGCATACCTGATTATCGGCGCGATAGGAACCATCATATTAGATCCACGAGATGAAGCATGACCCACCACATTTGGACCTAGTTACATATCATCCTTATTTCCACGCCTTTGAAGTATTAATCTCACTCCTGACTCATTGCGCTCACTATACTTTCAACCTCCAAGACAGCACAGCTCCGTTAGTTTCAGTGCAACGAATGTCAATCTAACCTTCCAGTGCTAACGATTGATTGAAATTCCATTTGAAGGGTTAACGACCCAATTCACACTGAACCCCAGGCTCGTCATTAGCTCTAAGCAGCCCACGCGCTTGCATGTTTTGCAAGTGGCTGGGCACATGCCGACAATTCCTTGGCAACAGTGCCAAAACGAAGCCGATTTGACCTCCGTGGCCCGGTTAGGTAAGGACAACAGGCAGGGAGGGCCAAAACACAATCTGTATTTTGCGTGTGATTCATACTTTGAATGGCCTCAATGTCTGGGAGGGGCTCCCACATATGACCTACAAACAACGAGTTGTCTTTTGGGCGTCCACCCAGAACCCCAGTCCCTGCGCCCGTTCGGTGCGCGGCCAGGATTTCAGGTACGCCTTGCCTGGCATTTGGACGACTCTCGGGGCAAGACAAAATGAAGAGCACGAGACGCAAATGATACGTCAATTTTGTGACCAGTTGACCCCTTGGCAAAAGTTAACCTTTCTTTTTGTGGGCTCAATGGAACAGCCTTGATTTCCCAAAACGTTTAGTCTAAAGATCCAGACCAATAGCCATCAAGTATTGCAACATATTGCAACCATCGGGTGCTGCTGTTGTGACAGCCGTCCACCTAATAATTTGGAGGCTCGAATTGAAACTACAAACATTGGATTGTAAATACCTACCACAAGATGCTTCCACTGTGACCGAAGCGCCAGGAAAACACAAAGTGAAGTCCACAAAAAGGCAAACCAAAAGCCCAATAAAACCGCTGGAAATTCATGCTCAATCCGAGAAAGACACCCGACCCCAACTAGAGATTCCTTAGAAAGTCTCACGCGTTTGGATTTGCTGGCTCCATATCTAATGCGTCAGCTGTGGATGGAGCCCGCACGGAGCAGCACGGCGCGAAGCAAACAAGCCAAGTTCCCAGCAACGCGGGGAACAAAATAAGAGAAACCGGCAAAAACATGTGTATTTTGAATCCGTTTCGGCCTCTTTAGACTCATTCCCATGTCCAGTGTTCGCGAAAAAGCCCGTGTGGCTCTTGGCCCTAAGCGGACAACGCACTTTGTGAACTGGCAGGCCTTGCACGATGGCTCGGAGAACCACCTCGACCACCAAGGAAACCGTCACAAAGGCCTGGCCAAGCGGGCGCCCCGCCGCCCCCAAATCGACGACCGCTCTGCTGGCTCCGTACACATTTTGGAGAGCAGGCCGTCCTCATTTCAGGCTTGCTAACGTCCCTGGTGAGGAAGACACCCCCCAAAGAAAGTGACCAACGCCAACCAAAGAAGGGAATTGCAACCACAGAACTCATGAAGGCATCCTTGTAGTGGAATCCCCGATATGGTTGCACACAAGCTTCACTGCTTGATCCTTCGGATGTTCTTTTCATATTCTCGTGACCGTGACTCAATTTGATCCTCAAGCAAGGGACCTCCACTCCTATAGTCAAAACGGTTTTAAGCGTACCACTCTCCAGTCGTATCATTTCCTGAGCTGCCCTCAGATCCCCTGCCAAAAGTCTAACTTTTAGTGGGTTACATGAACACCCAACCACGAAATCCTAAAGAACTAACGTGCCAAGGGGACGGCTGGCCTGGGCCCCAAGCTAGCGCTGTGCCCCAAGCCTCCAGGAAGAGGAGGGCCTTCGCCTCGCGCAAAGGCGAGTCCGAGCCTAGGGTGATGCACAGCAGCAGGGCCGCCTGGGCCGGTCGTCACTTATTCGGGCGGAAAGGAAAACCAAAGGAAACCAGGCACCCACCTTGCAAGGACCTCGCACATAAAGAACGACCATCAAAAGGAAGCACACGTCACAATTCATATTGACTATGTTAGGACACAAGCGTACCAACAAACTCTTCCAGAGTGGGAAACCCCGAAAAAGGGGTGGATCAAGGATCGACCTATCTGAGTCCAAAAACCCTGATTTCAAGCGGCATCACGAAATGACATCCTGGATCTAAAAGTTTTGTCAACCCCGGTAGCTCATGTCTCTACATTGCCGACAGGTGCCTTAAAGGGGCCCTTGAGGAAAAAGACTCCAAAACAGCTCAGCACAAGGTACGCTCATCGGCTAAACCAATACTTCCAACACCTTCAACGGATGCCCTCAACTGGCCTGGATGAGCTTGTGTTACCCTAGTTCAGCGAGGTCTGTTTTACAAAAAACTCAGCGAGCTCACGGTCAACATCTGCGCGGTCATACTCAAAATTGCCTGGTTACAACCCCCTTCTGGCTGTTGTTGAACAAAGGGCAAGCCACTTCATGCCCCAAAATCGCCCCATCCGTTGTAGACTGCCGTAACCCTGTTGTTGGGGAGCACGTCTTGGTTGGTACTTCAAAAAAGGCTCGAAAGGGACGCCCGCCGTTCTGGGGGTGCTCTCAGTTTGAGACCGCTGCGAACTCAGCTTCCTCCCAGCTGGGGTTGTGCAGCCCTGCCAAAGGCCCGCACCAGCACCATGGTGGCAAGGTACAACACCGCTGTGATCTGTGAGTAGTACAGCTGCACCTCGCTGGAAAAGGGTTTCAGACGAATGTCCTCGCACTTAGTTTAGAATTGCCAATGCCACATATAGATCCCCGTAGAAGTTTAGGGCGGGTTGGAACACCCGTTCTATAGCATAAAACTAGCAATTTGCGGAAAAACGTCTACAAAATGACGGCGGCTGCAGAACGAATTCTCTGCACAATTGGTCCCTGAAATTTACAGGTGTTTTTTTGGGGATGTGCAAAGTGGTCACTACAAATGGGGGGGGGTTCAGATAGGGATCTACATCCAAGCGTCATTTTGTAGCGGGCCAGTTGGGTCTCAATCCTACCAGTCTATCCTGTTGGTAACCACAGCTTCCAGAGAGGAGGCGGCGCTCGGGGGTTGCGCTTTGTTCGGACAGCTTGGGTGGATCTACCAGGCGGAAACGTATTTGTCGCGGGGGTATGGGCCCCCTTCCTACATTCTCTGTGGGGATGAATGGGATTTGCTAGGCGGCCCCATGCCAGGAGCAAAAGCTAACCCGTTTTCTGGGAATAAGCAAAAGCAAAAGCAAAATGTCACATTTTTTGGGGGCGCCCTGTTTTTGACACATGCTCCTGAGTTAGGGCTGGTGGCTAATATGTTTTTGTTTCTGTTCAACCCTAAGAGTGCCCTCACAACACAAACAAACCCTAGGCCCCCCCACAACGATGCCGCGCAGCAGCTCGATCCGCGTGCTTTGCACGCTCGCGCGCGGGCGCGGGGCGATGAGAGCCTCGTCCTGCCCAGGTCTTCTAGTTGGGTGTGTCTGTTTAGGGGCACACCCCAATAGGGCGGTTCTCCCCCGCGTTTCTCTTTAAAACCACCAGAAAGGGGAACCTCCAACCAAAGACACATTGCCTTAACACCCGTTACCACAAAAAAAAAAAAGCTGTTTCCGGGCAGGCTTCGGGTAGGATTTGGGTCGTTTGGGGTTGGGTTAGGTCTGGGGCATATTCGAGGAAGCTGAAGCCTTCTAGGCCCGAAAGCTCCAATAAAATGTTCTCCAACTGGTGCTCTTAGGCCGATTCCACTTTCGCCATTGTCCCTGTGGCTGGAACTTGGTTGACGTTGGAAGGGCATCAAACATCTAAACTTTAGCAGTTAGGTGGGGATTTCAGCCACTAAACCACAATAAGCAAAAATGCAAAATGTTTCCCAACGACAACCATGGGAAGACGTTCAGTCCTCAAGTAGAAGACCTCCAACTTCTCAAGCAATTCTGCTGTAGTGCTGACTCCTGTCAAGCTGAACTCATCCGAGGGCCCAAAGGACCTGCAGCCTGTGCTGTTGCCCCAGATCCAGCAGCCCGCCGAGATGTGGGCTGTGCCCCGCTGGCCCCAGTGGACCCCCTTGCTGCATCACCTGTTGTGGCCAAGCCAGGATCTGCGTCAGGATCCGCCCTGACCATCACCAGAAGCCGCACCCTCCTGAAGAGACATACTGAGCAAGCAAGCAGGAGAAGCACAGACCAAAAATGAAAGGAGAAGAAGAGCAAGTTGAATTCGAGCTGATGCAAGTCTGGCTAGCAGGGGTTTATCTAGGGCTTGCAAAAACTAAAACAGGAACCCGTTTCTGGGCTGACCATTTTGGGGGGGACTTACATCAACAAGCAAAAGGAAAAAGGGTACCACTGAACAACTGAGCAAAGAAGTGCATCCTGAAGTCGTTGCCTTGATCCAAGAGGACTTCGCGACCCGAATACCGGGGAATCGGGTGTTCAACCAGAAACGTGTGTTCCCACATGTTCATTGGAGTTATTTGGAGGCAGTGCAACAATGGTTGCGAATAAACAAGCAGCCAGTCGCCTTTTTTCCAAATCCCTTCCACTGCTTGCTTCTCTGAAAAAGAGATAGGGGTGCAGGTGCTTCCCTCCAACGGGTGGCTGAAATTGCCTTACAACCTAGGGGTAGTTAAAATACCCAGCCCTCTACAACCAGGTGTTCCAACCCCCAAACCATCAAATATCCATCCAGACCAAATTAAGGTACCCGACTTTTGACCGTCTACAATAACAACTGCTTCACGCAAACAAAAGCAAGTGCACGAGCAAATAGCGACCCCGTTGGTTGCCATGCTTAAAGGGAAACGACATCATGCCGAGCATGCAAAATCGCGTCTTCCTCAGGGCTCGCCGATCTACATTAGTCCAATGGCCAGAAAAAAAGGTCACAAAACAGCCTCGGCCACTCCCGAGGTAACATCTTTTGGAAGACCCCTCATCAGCCACAATTTCTGTACTAAACTCAGTCTTTTGCTGGAAGGTGGAAACGGGGCCCTTTGAGATATTTGTCAACATGCGATGCAAAATGCAAATCGTTGCGGCTCTCCACTCCATCCAGATCGACAGCAACAGGACTCCCACTTTAGTCTGCGAGAAAAGGAAAAGCCTCTGGCCATCACAAAGACCCTTTTTGAAACAACGAGCCACGCGCGCGACTCGGTCCTCGTCATCATCCCAAGCGCTCATGCGAGGGGATAGCTCTATGCGCTAAACTGGCGTCTCCGCATGTCTCCGCAAAACACGGTGAAGAGTCGTGGCACCAGGTCAAGTGGAACGTTGCAATGGAACACAACAAACACCTGCGGAAAAAAGAAGAAACAAAAAGCTGCAACACATTGCCCTATCGTCGTGCAGGGTGTTCAACAAAGGCAAAATCATGTTCATCCCTCTGGCACGATCGCAGCTTTTCTGACGCATGTCCATTTCGAGAAACATGGGTTGGGTCACCTGCGCGCCAGCGCGTTCTCAATTCCAGTGCCCAAGCGTCAGTATCGAAGGCGGCCCGCTGAAGCCAACGCTACGACGGCTCTCAGCGAGTTTTGGCCATGAGGATCTGAGTGACTTGTGTTACATCTCGTGTTGCCGATTTTGTTCGCCTACGCTGATTGCCACGAAGTTTGTCAATGGGTATGTCTCGCGCGGCGCTGGCAAACATGTCTCATCAGCAAGTTCCCAAATCCAGCAAGCCAGTTCGCATGGCTTACACATTCAGGGTCCATCCTCATTGTGGGCAGGGCTGTTGCTTGCACCTGTCTCCCAATTCTTGCGATCATCCAGACCAATATTCCGGATCCTTTTCAGGCATGGGGGCTATGTGAGGGGAAAGCAATGCTATATTACTCATATGCTATATGTAGCATTTCAGAATATCCTGCCATCTTATAAGCTTCATACTTCATGCTCCCAAGTAAGCGCCGAACAAAATTACTTGCCCAAAACGTGGGAAACTTAGGTCGTGGGCCCGTGATTTGTCCATGTCCTGCCAAAACTAGCAATACACTACCACCTTTGTCAGTTGCTCACGTTGGGTTCGCTTTTGGTTGGAACTTGTGATAAGCCTGTTGGTTGCCCACTTTCCGCTCAGTTGCTGATTAAACCCAAGGTAAAACTCACCTGTCGACCACCAAAAGACCCTGACATGACAGGTTTGACCATGTTGACTGACCTTGTCTACATGTAGACTGTGTAACAAGGAAACGCAAAAGTGTTGAAGCTCGGCTTCGGACAACTAAGAACAGGGTCCTTCAACTATGAGGATTATACTTCCTTCTATGATTCTTCAAAAGCCGCATCCCTTCTAGAATGGCCATCGTGACGCTGGCTACCGAACAGCTGTTCCGCCTTCGTCTCTCGCAGAAATCGTCGCCGCCTGTCAGTTAGCCGACATCCATGCCAGGCATGCTCACACACATCTGGGTGAGTCCCACAAAAACAAAACCCCTTTTTGGTCGGCATCATAAAGGACAAGGACACCCACATGACTACCTTTTTGGCAGGGGGCACGCACACGCGCACACACACACACACACACATCGAATGGATTACAACTCATAAATGCCGTCAACCCGGTAGTGTGCCAGGCTTTGGCACAAAATTGCTTTAGAGGCCCTCTGTTGACCTGTGCCTTAATCAACTCCAAACAAACCCTCAACACACCCTAAACCAACCTTACAACCCTGAAGCACCAAGACCACAGGGAGGGGCTTACTTGTCTGACCCCTGACCATTGGCGGGCAAGCGGGCAACGCCGTAGGTTGGCAGAAGTCTGTCGAGCCTGGTATTGGAACAAACTGCCGTAGGAACTTTCTGCCACTGTGACCATCGGACATAACGCAACCGCATCTAACAGCTGTGGCAAAAAAACTGAAAATTACACCAGCATAGACCCCAGATAGCAATGATTGCACACCAGCACCTCCAACAGCACCCCCGAAGAGCGTCCCAAACAGCACCCGGCCGTCAATCGAGCACCCGCGCCATCACTAGCACCTCCAACAGCACCCCAAACAGCATCCCAACACAGCACCCGCAGCAGGACCCCAAACTGCATGCCCCCTGCACCCTGCCGTCAATCTCGCAAAAATGCGCCTGCACCGTCACCCTAAGAGCACCCCAAACAGCACCCCCCCAAACACCCAGCCGCACCCCAAACAGCATCCCAAAACGCCACCTGCACCAGCACCCCAAGCTGCATGCCCCCTTGCACCCTACCGTCAAGATGCAAAAATGTGCCTGCGCCGTCACCTGCATGCCCGATAGCACCCGGGCGTCAATATCGCAAATTGCGCCCGCACCGTCACCAGCACCTCAAACAGCTCCCCAAACAGCATCCCAAAACACCACCAGCACCAGCACCCCGAACTGCATGCCCCCGTGCACCCTACCGTCAAGATGCAAAAACACGCGTGCACCGTCACCCCCAAAACAGCACCTGCACCAGCACCCCCAAACTGCATGCCCCCTAGCACCCTACCGTCAATCTTGAAAAGATGCGCCCGCACTGCCATCAGCACCTCAAACAGCCCCCCAATCCGCAAAAACCAGCACCCCAAACTGCACGCCCCTTAGCACCAGCCCATCAATCTCGCAAATCACTTCCCCCTCTTTATTAGAAGTTAGAACCCCTATAGCTTTCACTATCTGGGGAATAATACATTGGCAAGTCTATCACATACCTTCCCCTGCACAAACATGGCACCTGGAAGATGACCGTTCTCTACCCCTGTCACTTGCCGTGGGCAGGTCATCGTTATATGTTGTTATCGAGGCGCCAGCCCTGCATTGGGCTGGGGTGCCTTTTTAGCGCTGGCAGAAAGGCCTTGAGTCAGCTAGCACTTGGTCAGACTGCGAGCTTCAACGTGTGTCCGATTTCTTGTCAGCCTGTGCATTCTGAGTATGTAGCTATAGTACAAGTGTGGTTGTGGCTTGTTGTGGCCCTTGGGCACAAGGTCCACCAAAGGCAGAAGCCAACACCCAACGGTCCATGAGTAAGTCGGTCTTCCCCAGCAAAAGAAAACAAACGTTTGGAGGTTGAATTGGACATCGAAAACGGGCGATCGTATTGCTGATTCCTTCACGCTGAGTCCCGCCTCCCGCTGCCGAACTGAGACCCGCGGCGGTGCCGGCGATGCCTTCAGGGTCCCCTCCTTCCCCACTTTTGGGACTCGTTCGGATGTGCAATGTTAAACGATTCCGTGTTAGTTGCCTTGTTGGACTCCAAGGAAAACGAAAAGCAAACTGCACAGTGGCAAGGTTCCCCTGTTTACAGGGGCCTGTGGAACTGACACCAGCAGCTCAGGTCCCGTACTGTAGATGCCTTCTTTGTTGCCAGTAGCACGTACAGGTTAACTATCAAAGTCAGTGTGCCATGTGTTATATTACGCCGATCAAAACCAACGCTTTGTTTACCCAAGGAAATATCCAAGACAACAAACACCGAGCGGATCGCCTCATCCAACTCACTCAGCTCCTGCGGAAGCAAGTTCCAACGCGCCGCGAGCACAATGCGCAAGCCCAGCGCTGCCCGCGTTTAAACCGTGGAGCAAGAGGCACATATCAATGCCCCTCCGCTTGGCTATCTGGCTGTCTCATTCCAAATCAAGGCATCCTTCATGCTTTTGGCTTGTTGCACACCTAGGGCAGGTTGCCCCGGTTGCAATTTCCTTTCGAACCTATGCCTTTTACCTTTTGTGGACACCCACTTGTCATGCTGGCTGCCGTTAGAACACTAGCTCACTAGGAGAATAATCAAAGGTCCTACCAAGGCTCATGGAAATGTTGTCACCACGCACCGAATTCAACGAACACGTTTCATTGGATATGTTACACGCTGGCTTCTTCCAGCGGAGTCCTCCACATCCTTCGCCGGCGGCGCATGCCGTCGCCTGCCACAAGGTCAGTTTTGGCTTCCGACGTGAGGCGGCTGTCTGGTTAAGAACTTTAGGGCCTGGGGTGTGATGGACCTAGAATCCCCTATGAAACTACAAGAGGTGTGCTGATAGAGGACATTCCTCCCCAAACAAACGATTTCCCTCCAGGCACCTTTGCCCAGGGAGAAAGAATGAATGGCGACACGCGGGGCTAATCACGGAGTTTACGGAGCGCTGTGTATGGGTGAAGAAATGCAACCTTTTTGCGAACTTCTGATTGCAGCAGCCTGTGATGGATCACTTTGTTTCACCAACCTGACTTGAAGCTCATTGCGCCGAACTCCCAAGCCGCAATGGTAAATTTGGTTCCCGGGATCTGTTTCTGCAAGCCAAAAAAGGACTGCCCAATCGAGGTATATCGAGGTTGAGGAACGTGGAATGTGCCCTGGCGATCCTGTCTGTCTTCACGCTTTCCTTTTGCAGGCACGGACAGCAAATGTTTCTTTCTCTTCTAGGCTAGCGGTACTACGGGCATTGAGCCCGACAGGGTTACCATTGCGCGAAGGTCAAAGTTCAAGCAAACACAGAACAAAAACAGGCACAAATTGTGTTGAATGTTTTCCTGTAGCCATTGTTTCACTGCAAACTGAGATCTCTGCAACTTGGACGCTGGGATTGGGACAGCTAGTTCTGTCGTTGGTGAGTGCAAAAGGAGCCACTGGCGCTTCAAAAAGGGCCTGAAAGCGGGGGGCCCTCTGATTGGCTGGGTTGCTACAAGGGCCAACTTAGCTGGAATTGTGTGGGACACTTGCAACCCAAACTAAGCCTTGATCAGATTATGTTGTGCTGTGCGAGATGATCTTTAACCCCACTACCTTCAGAAAAGAATGGCGATATGGCAATTTCCTGGAGGGCACCCCTTCATAGGGGCTATTTACCAACGCGCGACGCAGCACGAATCTTACTACGCAGGTGTGCAAACGGGGTCCTTGTTAGGCAGGTCTGTAACGGGACAACATTTCTTGAAAAATCAGTAGCACAATGTAGAGCAGAGCAACAAAGAGCCGCAGCTCCCGCTCGAAAGTCGCAACTGTTCAGTGCAAGTCTGCAAGCAGGCCTCCGCAGCTCAAGCTTGAAAGTTGCAGCTTTTCAACGCAAGGCAAGCTCGAAAGTCGCAACTGTTCAGCGCAAGTCTGCAAGCAGGCCTCCGCAGCTCAAGCTTGAAAGTTGCAGCTTTTCAACGCAAGGCAAGCTCGAAAGTCGCAACTGTTCAGCGCAAGTCTGCAAGCAGGCCTCCGCAGCTCAAGCTTGAAAGTTGCAGCTTTTCAACGCAAGGCAAGCTCGAAAGTCGCAACTGTTCAGCGCCA